TTTTTTTTTGAGTTGGAGTCTCACTCTGTCGCCCAGGCTGGAGTGCAGTGGCACGCTCCTAGCCACCGCAGTCTCGACCTGCTGGGCTCTGGCAATCCTTCTGCCTCAGCCTTCCGAGTAGCGGGAACTAGAGGCACATGCTACCACGCCCGGCTAATTTTTTGATTTATTGTAGAGATGAGGTCTTGCCAAATTGCTCAGGTGGGTCTCGAACCCACGGGCTCAGGCAATCCACTCACCTCAGCCTCCTAAAGGTGCATGATTACAGGCTAAGCCATTGAGCCTGGCTTTTTTTTTAATTTTAAAGATGTGGGGTACAACAATACAGAGTTAGGCATACAAATATTCATTATGCATGTACCCTTGTTGATAAGGTATGTCCTCCCCTACCCTGGCGGTGTCTCACTACTGCCAATTCTGCCCCTACCCTCCCTTGGTAGTTTCCTACTACTGCCAATCATTTTCTTATAGTATTACAATAGTTGTTCAACGTCTGCTTATGAGTGAGAACCTGTGATACTCGGTTCTTTGTTTTTGTGATGGATCACTCAGTATTATAGAGTCAGTCCATCCAAGTTGCTGCAAAGTTCATAATTTTGTCTTTCTTTATGGCTGTGTAATATTCCCTTGTGTACATGTACCATATATTTTTTAATCCAGTCCTCTTTCAATGGGCAGCACAGCTGGTTCCATGTTTTTCTATTGTGAATAATGCCACAGTAAATATGTGTGTGCAGGTATCTTTTTCACAGAGTGATTTGAGTTCCTCCAGGTATATTCCCAGTAGGGAGATTGCGAGGTTGTAGGAGAGGTCAATTTTTAGATTTTTTAGGAATCGCCAAACTGTTTTCCACTGAAGTAATACTAGTTTACACTCCCACTCACAGTGTAAGAGTGTTTAAAATACACATTTTCTTCGTAGAAGGTAATAATTGAATGTTTTCCCCTGAAATACACATCTATGTCTTTCCTATCATGCCATGTTTCTTGGTTGTTGGAACTTTATTTGAAGGCAGCCATGAAGGGGATAGGGATGGATTATATAAAATCCATGTTGAGAAGTTTTACCCTGTCCTACTTGTCCCATAATATTGCATGTCTAGTTCAGTAGTAATTAAATCCCTGTGTGCATGGGAATAATCATGAGAATTTGTTAAAACACAGGCTTGTGGGCCCTTTCCCCAGATATCAGGATTCCATTGTTACAGCACGCTTCTAGTGATCGTAAAACTAGCAGTCCACTGACATGACAAAATGGCCCCGATTCTCCACTTCTCCCTTTATTCATAAACAAAAAGCGACTTTACTGTTCCTCCAACAAGAGGTAAAGTCTGTTTCCCTAATCTCATGAATCTAAGCTGGTCTTGTTACCTGCTTTGGTAACAGAATACAGTGGGACTGACACAGTGCCACCATAAGCCCTATGGGTTTCCACCCTCTCCTGGAAACCTTATGCTGTGCCTGGTGAATGAGCCAGGGCTAGCCTGTTGGATGAGAAGTGAGGTGTGGTCCAAGCACCATCATCAGCCAATAGTTGGTCAGGCATGTAAACAATGACCTAAAGTCGCTCTAAAGTAGTACCTTAAAGTAGTAGGCCCCCAGCTGACTATTGCAGACACTTCAGCTCATGAGCCAAGACTAGCTAAGCCTGGTCCAGCTGCCCCACGCACTATTGAGCAAGAATAAATCCAGGAATTTCAGGGTGACTCATTACACAGTGATAGATTACTGATACTCTTCACAGTTCTGATACTCTTCACCTGAGAAACACTGACTTATCTCTTCCTCTCCACTTCCCCTGCCACCTTTATAATTCAGGCTTTCATTTATGGTCCAGACTACTACCACATCGTCTTTCAATTTGTCCTCCCGCACGTTGTCATCCCCCACCTCCATCCACACTGCTGCTGCTAAGACTGCATTCCTTAAAGACAGAGTCAGCCCAGAAGGGGAGGGAGATTACATATTCTCATCATCCAGCACAATGCTTATAAGTACCCCATAGGTACTTACTCTATGTTTGCAGAATGACTGCTACCAGATTCATAAGACACAGCTCTGATCATATCACTCTCCCATGCAGAACTCTATTGGCAATTATATCATACACTGAATCCATTTTCCACTTGGCCTGTTTAATTCTAGGACCTCAGTGATCAGGCCTCAGCCTAGCTTCCTACTCTTCTCCTTCTCTTAATGTTCCATTTAAAAGTGAGGGCTCACTGAACACTTCCCATATTTCTGCATCCATGCTAATACTCAAGACTGCAGCATAGAGTGCCCTTTCACATTTCTGCAAATTCTACACATTCTTGAAGGTCTAATCTCTTCTGTGAAAATCTAGCTTTAAGTAAGAAAAAGCTCACCACCACCACCCCCTTCCCCACCTCCAGCACTTTTCCTGAGTCTCTCCTGGAACCTGATATTATGGTTACTTATGTGTAACAGCATGTAGCAGGCATATGCCCAACCAGAGATTGTAAACTTTTTGAGGATAGGTTCCATCTTTTACTTCTCTGTGTTCCCTGATGTACCTAACACAGTACATGAAACATAATACGACCTTAATAAATGCCTACTGAATAGATGATTTTTAGTCACTACTAAAACAAAAATAAAAACAGCAATACCGAAACTCATAAGCTAAACCCAGAACAAAGATGGCAGAAGAAATACAGTGATTCTCATGTATCAGTATGCAAAATAATTTTCTGGAAACCCTGTTAAAAATACAAACTCCTAGGCTCTGCACCAGAGAGACTGGTTTAGGGGACTTCAAACCTGAGTTTGAATTTTTAGCCCATGCGACTTTGAGAGAGATTTGTGGGAGGTTTATGGACAACACTTTGATACACAGTGACAAAGAGTTTGCTTTACAGATATGAATTCCAAAGTAATACCTTTTTTTATCATGCAGCTAAGAATTTTAAGTTTCTTGACTTTAATGCCAAAGCATCAAGTGCAGCAGGCCTATAAAAAGAACCACTAACAATACATACACTGTCTGGCACCTTATTAGCTTAGGTTGCTGGGACTATGGCATCACACCCCATTCTTTGTAATCACAATCTACACACATTTTTCATCTACATATCCTTTTTATAAACTACTTAAAGTTTAATTCGCTACAAATAGCCCTTTGTCAGACCATCTCACCACATGAGGTATGCTTTAAAGTAACTGAGGGGTGCAAGATTCCTACCTCGGTCCCAGAGGCTGTCTCTTAATGCTCTCTCCAGCTGTTCTTCTTCACTCAGTCCTGCTGTGTACATATCATAGTTCCTGGGTGCTTCTTCATAATAACTTGGCCTGCCATACGGATAATGATCTTGATAGCCAGAGTGGCCTATAGGCACAATAGAAAGGTTATAGAACACTGCTTGGTACTGTTCTTGTATTTCATACTTCCTATTTTATATAAGCAAAGACAAGCAAATGATTCATGTCATTATTTTGAGTACAGTAATAATCTTTAAAATAAGAAAAGATGCCAAATGGAGAATGTCTCCATGAGGGTGGGCAATGATGATTGTTACTGTTGCACCCACAACGCCCCACATGGGGCCAGACACAAATGAGTCCTTATGTGCTAATGAGGAAAAGAGCTATTAATTTAGATATTAATTTAGGTGTCATAGGTCCTGGAGAAGAAATTGGAATGAGCTACTGCCATATGGAGTGGATTCTTTCAGCTTACAGCTATTCAATACTTGGGATATTTTCAGTGAAATCCTGAAAAATATCCCAAGTCTAAGAGAGTGGTGGAAACAATAGCTAATAAAGCCTGATTGTCTTGAGGCTCCATACAATGAGAGGCAGACCCATGTTTAGTACAGATGCGACAGAATATTTCAGACAGTAATAATGACATTAAGATGTACAGCCAATTTCTCTGTAATCACAATTCTACATCAGAGATTGTAGTTCCTATTGATAGCACTTTCAAAAAAATTGGCTGCTAGATAAAAGAAGAGAGAAGAGACAACGTGGTCATTAAATAATACTTTAAAGACCAAACTTTGATATCCCATTAATAAAGATCAGTAACAGAGCAAAGCTTACTTTTCAAGATATCTCCATCAATCTTTTCAGTCAATTTGAATTCACTCTGTACATTTTCTTTAATTGCCAACTGTTACAGAATTTGCTTGGAAGAGATTTTTCTTTTCCCCCACACAGAAGGTTACCAATCTCATTCTGGCATAATGAGAGAGAAATAATAGTCTGTTTTTTCGCTGCTTTCCTGCCATTATTGTACCCTTTGAAGATGATATTTCCAATGCTTAAATAATGTTTTTGGTTGTTAATGAAGATTCGTAACCTTTACTATGAGTCTTTGTCACAGAACTCCATATCATCCCTCACAGTATAAGCCTGAGTTAGAGCTTTAGTAGACTATGAAAAAATATATAATCAAGCTAAAAGAAGAACACCATACAGCAGAACCTGGTCAACTGAGATTTCATCTTTAGAATTTTTGATAATTGGTACTGAGGCTATTTTAAAATTTACTTTTGTATTGTTTATGAATAAAATACTTTCCTAATATGCAAGATTAAAAGGAGAACAACGTATTTCCCATAAAATTTTTCAGCACTCAGTCTTTTTTCCTTATAAACAATAAAATACACAAATATAGTTTCAGCTGATGACTAATATAATTATGTGTTTATATAAATATTTGCCATGTAAAGTATTTGTGTCTATTGATAATGTTTTTATCATAGCCTATTGAAATATACTTGATGTATTATAAAATTTATCAATTTAAAGTTTACAATTCAATGTTTTTTGGTATATTTTAGAGTTGTACTATCATCAACACAATCAATTTTGGATATTTTAATCATCTCAAAAAATAAATTTGTACCCTTTAGCTAACAGCCCTCAAGCTCCCATTCATTCTCCAGCTATAAGTAACCACTAATATATTTTCTGTCTTTATAGATATGTCTCTTCTGGACAATACATATAAATAGAATCATATACTATTTGGAACTTTGTATCTGGCTTTTTTTCACTTACCATATGTTTTCAAGTTTCCTTAGTGCTGTGACAGGTATCAGTATTTCACTCCTTTTCATGGACAAATCATATTCCATATATGGATATACCATATTGTTTGTCCATACATCAGTTGATATACACATGGGTTATTTCCACCTTTTGACTATTATGATGATGCTGCTATAAACATTGTGAACAAGTTTTCATATGGACATGTAAATACTCTCTTGAGTATATACCTAAGAGTAGAACTGCTGGGTCACATAGCAATTCTGGTTAACCATTTGAGGAAATGTCAGAATGTTTTCCAAAGTAGCTCTACTATAAGCAGTGTGTGAGGTTTCCAATTTCTCCACATCCTCACCAACACTTGCTATTATTTGTCTTTTTAATTACAACCATCCTAGCGGGTATGAAATGGTAGCTCACTGTGGTTTTGATGACTAATGATGTTGAACATCTTTTTATATGCTTATTGGCCATTCATACAACTTCTTTAGAGAAATGCCTATTCAGATACTTTGCCAATTCTTAGTGATTATTACAGTACTCTACTAGATTGGTTCTGTTTTACTTAATATCCTTGAAAGTAACAATGAATGATTTAAATAAACATTAAATAACATTGTTCAGAATTTTAGAGACTAAGTCTGAAAAGCCTTGTCCAGTGCAGTAAAAATTAGTGGAAATTTACTAAACACCTTCAATAATCCAACTTCCACATTCTCTCTCATGTATCCCATGTCAAAATATTAACATTTTTTTATATAAAACAGGAGAAGGTGATAAGTACATTTTCCAAATCCTCACAATGATTTGGGTCCAAACTTGGATCTAGATACAATTTTAAATATGAACATTTTTCAAATTGTCTGATAGAATCATCAGAAAAATTCAGCTCCCCTGTTGTGCTGAGGAAAAACCCACCAGCAAGTTTCCTATCTTTAGAGTAAAGGAGACTATGGTAGTGTTCTTACGTTCTATGCTTGTCACCAGAAAAAGACCTTTCATATGAGTACAAATGGTGAAAATACAATTAATATATTTACTCCACAAAGAACAAAAGGAAGGGGCAACCAATCCAAAACACTACTAGAATATTTATGAGTAAGTCACTGAATACCATGGGATGCTTCAGCAATCCCTGAATAGAGAAAATGCCCAATTCCCTAAGAGTGCCAATTACTTTATTGCAACACAAAATGCATATTGCATAATTTCCCATATGGCTCATTATCACTTTTAAACCCCTGTGGAAAGTCATTCTGTTATAGAAGGTCTAAGCAGTATTTCTACCTATCCATGCCCCCAAGCCCTCAGCTAATTCAAAATTCAAAATAATCTAAAGTCTCTGAATACTCATCTACACAGATACTATGAACTGTCAAGCATATATACAGTAATTGAAAGCAACATTTTCTTGATATTAAAAAATGTTTCTTCATGAAATTTCTTATTTAAAAACAACCTAGCAGTTCTTTAATAAAATAAACAACTCTAAACATCTGAATATTATAAAGCTTAATTTGATACTTGTCAGAAAAAAACATGAGGAGAGAGAATGAGAAAGTTGCAGTGCCTTAAGTAAAAAAGACTAGGCTTGTTAAAAGTTCTATATCATCAAGCATAAATCATCAGCAAGACCAAAATTACCATTAATATTACTATAAAAAAAAGGTCTCCTAGGACCAAAAATTCTCTACAGCTGTCTCACTAGCCCAATAAGATGTTTTTAGATCATCTTAACAAAAATTCCTGGGAAAACCTAGCAATCAAACACTTAAATAAGTTTAAATTATGTCCTGTGATGAATACTAGTTTAATGTTCTTTTTTAGCTATATACTTAGGCCCTGTAGTAAAAAGAAATGCTGGTTATCATTATTCTATTAACTACTCCATCTGTTCTTTATACACATACCAGGATTTCATGGCAAAGGAGATCAAGAAACACCACCAAGATTAGAAAAATTGGTAACAGCTTTTTAAACATTCATGAAGTTCTTTGACCTATAAAGACTGTTCCAGCTAAGGACAGCCATATTAAGAATAAATCATTACTTGTAAGAGATACATACACTCTCATAAAAGTTCCCTAGATGACCATTAGCATAGCCACCTGGCCTTATGTAGCTCTGCCTCTGAAGAAATCCAATTGCTTCAGAGGAAGAAACATATATATATATGGTAATCTTACAGAGGTTACGGAAGGTAAAAGGGATTTTATTTGTGTCTTTAATTCTCTAGTTTATGTATCTGCTTTGCCTATGCCTCTTCCATATGAAAGAAGACAGAAGCAGGTTTCCTTAAAAAAAAAATACAAAGATGGAGGGCAAAAGAAAAAAAGAATAAGTAAAACTGCCTATTTTGTAAGGTTAAATCAGCAGATCCTTGCGCAACAGAGAAATCAGGGGTTAGAAATCAGAAATATATATTTTTGCCCCAGTTCTACCACTAACTACTGTGTGACTTTAGCCCAATTACTTAACCTTGCTAAGTCTTAGTTTCTCAGCTGTCACATAAGATGTCAGGACTAGATAATCTATGATCATTTCAGCCATGTCTGTACAAGTATGTTCTTACTATTCTCTTTGCCCAGAACAACACTGCTGTTTCTTTTGAGAATTTTAAAAACGAAACTAGAAGAGAAGCCTTTTTTCTTCTAGCAATTTCAAGCTGTCAGACACCACACGCCCTGCCCCATGGAGAGAATAAAATCTGCAGGAAGAGAGAAACCACAATGGGAGATAGAAGCATGAAGGTCTTCCTGTCCAATCCAGCTATTTCTAGAGGCCAGTAAAGCTTCCCTGATACCAGTTTATTCAGTGTGAACTTGTCTGTATAACCAACAACCCAAAGGACCCAGTGCTCATTCAAATAACTATATTTATTAGCTTTGTCCATAATTATTTACTACAAAAATTACTTATAATTACTTCTCTTTTCAGGTGAGTCCACAGGTAGAAGCAGGTGAGCTGGTATTGTTCAACAATAGTTTCTCTGCATCGAGGCCAAATTTCTAGGATTTTAACCATCCAGATCAATAGAGGTGAAAGCCTCAGAAGTGAAGCCTCTTCTGTGGTCCCCAAGCCTAGGGAACCCCAGTTATCCAAGGCTAAAGCTTTTGTTCCTGATCCCATTAGAGTCACTTAGGAAGTATTATTAAAAAAAAAAAAAAGTTGACAATCATGAACCAAGCCTTCAGAACTACACAGAAAAGGTAGCTTAAACGTAACTCTGATAGTTTCACTCTTCTAGTTAAATCCTTCAGTGGCTGTCTAGGACATCCCGGATAATCCCAAACAGGCCTTTTCAAATACTGTTTCCTCTCCGGAAAGCCCTTTCCTCCAAATGCTTCTTTAACTACTACTCATTCACCTAGACCCAGCACTCCCCTTCTACTGAGTAACTTCCTGTAATGCAATTCCACTGGTCCCTCCCAGACTGTGAAGACTGAACCCACTACACTACCCATTGCTAGATTAGGCTTCCTACTTATGCCAGGAAGGAACAACTGGGACAGGTCTAGCCCTCTCACCAAAATTAAGTAGAAGACTGGAGAAAACACAGGAAACAACTATTTTTAGACATTGTATAATAGTGGTATAGGATTTTGAATATCAAGAGACAGGAAACCAGCCTGGAGACACTTTCCAGACTGTGGTGCAAGGTGCAAGAAGGGGGATCACAGTAGAGCACAGCAGGATCCTGAAAAGTCAGAGGGGAGCTGGGAATGGGAACTAACTAGTTTGACATAGTCAAACTCAACAAATGCTACATTATTAGCTGTCTCCCATTATTCTGTAGCACTCCACACCATGGCTCTACATTATGTTTTCTATACTATAACTAGGTCCTATTAGTTTTTGTTTCATCTTCAAATGTATGGCACCTATATTCTCAGTCCTGGGTTATAAACTCTGAGACTAGAACTATAGTTCTTTCTCTCTCCCACAATGTCTGGTTTGGCACTCTGCACAATATGACCACTCACACAAGATGCGACAGGGGAAACCAGTCTGTGGCTAAGAACATTCTATGGGAAAATAAAGTGCTTGTGCTCTCTCTCTCTCTCTCTCTCTCTCTCTCTCTCTCTCTCTTCGTGTGTGTGTGTGTGTGTGTGTGTGTGTGTGTGTGTGTGTAGTTTACTAATTGTTTATGGCTTTTTTTACACTATCAGGGCTATCAGGACGTATTGCAACACAGACCACATGGCCTATAAAGCCCTTGGAGCCTGACACATTATCTATCTGGCCCTTTAAAAAGTAGGCTGCTGACCCCAGATTTAAGCTATAGTAGTTCTCAACTGCTAGGAACATAAACATGGTTTAGCTCATTTGGGCTGGTATAACAAATAGCGATATACCAGGTGCCTTAAAAAGAGAAATTTCTCTCAGTTCTGGAGGCTAGAAGTTGAAGATCAGGATGTCAGCATGGTCATTTCTGGTGAGGGCCCTCCTCTGTGCTGCAGACTGCCAACTTCTCCTTGCATCCTTACAGAGCAGAAAGGAAGCTAAGGAGCCTTCTGGAGTCCCTGTTATATATGGGCACTAATCCTATTCAGTAAGACTCCACCTTCATGACCTAATTTTTTCCCAAAGCCCCACTGCCTTAAAACCATCACATTAAGGGTTATAATTTCAACATATGAACTTGGAGGGACACATTCAGTGGATTGCATTAAGACACCCAGTGGTTCCACAGGTCTTGGCTTACATCTGTCTGCTGGCACTGGTCCAGGATACTACAATGTAGCTCCCCCAGGCTGGAATATGAAGGCCTTAGCCTAAAATAGGTCTTACACTTTTCTTTTCTTTTCTTTTTTTTTTTTGAGCTGGAGTCTCACTCTGTTGCCCAGACTGGAGTGCAGTGGCCGCTCCCAGCCACTGCAGCCTTGACCTGCTGGGCTCCGGAGATCCTTCTGCCCCAGCTTTCCAAGTAGCTGAAATTATAGGCACGCGCTACCATGCCTGGCTGATTTTTTTGATTTATTGTAGAGATGAGGTCTCGCCAAGTTGCCCAGGCGGGTCTCGAACCCACGGGCTCAGGCAATCCACTCACTTCAGCCTCCCAAGGCGTGGGATTACAGGCTAAGCCACCAAGCCTGGCTAGGTCTTACACTTTTAACAGAAAGTCTTTTCTACCTACTTATACAGACATCTAGAAATATACCTTTTCCTCTTTAAGTTGCATAGTATTTATTAGAGGGATGCCCTTAGCATCTTAGGGTAAGGATAAGCTTCTTGAATATAGATGGGGTGAATTGTTGAGAATTGTATAACTGAAACCATTTTCTAAAAATGCCAGCAGTACAGTCTTAGGCTGACAATCAAAGGACCAGGGTCCAATATGAATCTCATTGTGTATGAGAAACCTCACAACAATCATACAGTTTTTTTCATGCCAGAGTTACCTCATTTCCTGGTCTTTCCTATCAACCCACTCAAATATGCTCCCTAGGTTTGTTAGAGGCACAAACACGTAACATGTGAAATACTCTATCACCGTATAAACAAGATTTATTTTAAAGTAGCTCTATAGCAATGAACACTATAATTGTAAAAATAAGTTAAAATTTATTAAACAAAATAAAGTGCTTACCTGAACTATTAAAGTAGTATTGCTGTCTTGGGTAAACAATATTGGAGGAAAAAATGCCTAAATGTGAAGGAAACAAACATTTTAACGGCAACCATAAAGCTTTTAATGCTAATCATTCCATCAGTTAGGAGGTTCTTTGTGACAAAGGCCATGGTCATTTCAAATGCTTTCTAAGCAATTGTTAAAATAAACAATTTGGGGTCCAGCCCTACAGGAAATAGAATGTATGTGAGAGACAATGAACTCCCTAATTTACATTCACTGAAGTTCCTTGAGGGTTCTTGTGGACATAGGACAGTCTTTGTCTCTCAGTTCTTTGACCTGGCTAAAGAGAGAAACTTCCTCCAACAAGGATGTTAGGAGATCCATGCTCCTTATCCTTCCTAAGAGAATTCATCCTTTCTTATCCCTATAAAAGTCAGCAAAACAGAGAGTTCAGCACTGCTGAATGAAGGAAGTGAGGCAGGGGCAAGGGGCACGCCCTCAGAGTGACCCTCCTCTTTCACGAGGCATAAGATAGTTAGATGCCTCCACATGCCTGGTCGTTTTCCATGGGGTTCCTGTGTCATTTCAATTCTCAGCTCACAGAAAAAGGCAGATAATTTGCAGGCTTGCAGATCACACTGAAATTCTGATGTTCTTATTTAATTTTCTATCGTATTACTTCCAAAATAGAATGATTAAAAATAAGTGTCCACAGAAAATAAGCATTGTTTTTAAGGCAAAAAAACCCAAAAAAACAAAAAAACAAACCAAACAAAACAAATCTAAGACTTTAAGAGTTGTTATAACCGTGGAAAAATCCTCTTTAAAAATTAAACAAAGCATTTGCCTAAATTCCATAACATGTCTGGAGAAAGCTTTACTAACCACTTAATCTTGAGACATACTGAAAAAAAGAAGCAAAACATTAAACTCCTAAGAATTATTTCTTTTCCCTTAACAACACTAATAAGTAGAAAATTGCGTCGAAAATATAATAAAACTGGACATCTTCAATAAATTAAGTTCCTGATGTCTACTCCAAGCATACACTCTGGAAACACAGCAATAAGCCAATGCAGGAAAATGAGAATCTGCTTAGATGCAACACAGTCCGTAAAAATCAACCAAAAGTGAACTACATCCTGCTAATAAAGGGGACAGTGCAGGGCCTGGAAAGCTTTCTAATATCATGAATATTATATGGTTCTCAAGAATACCAGTCACTGGCACAAACTGCGAAAACAAATTATTTATGGTTCAAGAAAAGGTAAAATAGTCTCAGAAGATTTCCCATGAATAAAAGATGAAATATTGGAACTCACATGGTCTATAAAATAAGTGTTTGCAAAATAGTTTTCTTACAAGTTAAAACTCATATAGTATTTTAAATTAGCCCAGTGCATGTCTAAAAATGCATATATTTCTAAATAAAATACTTTTAGTGAGCATCAATTTGAAGGGAAAAACAAAGAAAAAAGCAAAAGCCAAGTTTCAAGCAATAACAGACATGGTTTGGCCATGCATGAATGTAAGTCTCGTCTGACAAGGACCCAGTGGTCATTCTGAGTTATTTAAAATACTGGCTTTGCACTTCAGTCTCGGTGTGGTTTTCTTTTTGTAACTTTGCCTTAAAAATATATTAATTCATGCAATATTATAGAAAAATGCATCATTTCATTTTTTTAATTTTTTTAAGGTGAGAAAGTAGGATTTATTGAGGAAACAGAAAAGCTCCCACGGTGGGAAGGAACCTGAAGGGGTAATTCGAAAAATGCATCATTTTTTTTTTCTTAGGGAAGAGTGCAAACGCAGTCCCCTACTACCACAAACTATCAAGTTTCCCACATTTGGGGAAATTGCAGGGGTCAGCACATCCAGAGTGCCATGGATAGGCCTCGCCCTAGGAAAATTACCTTTGTGATCATGTTATCTTCCCTGTCAGGTGAATATAAAATGTATCATTTTAAACCAACTTTAGTTCTCTCCATTTTTGAGGAAGTTATGCTTTTCTGTAACATTAAAGTTCCAGGTATAAATATATACTGATATTTGTTCCCTAAGAAAGCCTCAGATTTAAAATGTGGGTTAGCCTCCTCTTTTGTGGAGCAACGTGAGGAACTATGCTGGCTATTTTACTTCTTGGTTTAAAAAAAAGAACAAGAATATTAGAGAATTCCTGAGCTGAACCACAGGGAAACTTGGGGTTGCTTCTGTTCACATTAAAATTAAGATGACTTCCAACTTGTTGTCATGCCAAAGGCGTTTTACTCTGTACCTGCACATGTTTCCATGATTTTCTTCAGAGGCCCTTGAGTGTACATTAGTCCAACAAGAATCCCAGCCAGATGCCCAGCGAAGGAAGTCCTAGGAGGGAAGGAGACCCTTTGTGAGTGTTTGTTCTGCTGCTGATTAGAGACATTCTGTCTTCTCATTAGCCCAGTGCATGTCAATTAGTCACAGTCTGCAGGCTTTGTTCCACATCACGTCTTTTATGCTGAGCAGCATGTAACTCAGTCCAAAGAACAATATTTCCTATCTTAAAAAAAGTACAATGAATAACAGCCAGCACATGTTTAAAATGCAACACCTCTCCTTGACCAAAAGAAGAGGACTGGTACCTTCTAAGCAGCGGAAGCATTTTGTCAAAACAAGACATTATATTGCTTCCAGTTTCTGTCTGTACCTCTTATCCCAAAACATAACTGAAATCAGTTTTCTCTGTTCAGAACTGAATCTGGAATTATACAGCCATTGTGATGGATGATGCTTCTCTGTGTTCACAGCAGGGCAAACTGCTGCAGTTTTCTACACCACTGACTAGTGAAGAAGAGAGCAAGTGAAACTCAGGCAAAGTGACTGAGATGCTCACACATAATCCCTTGTCCACAGAGTTGTCTTTATATGTATCTTTCAGTCACTCAGAAGAAAGAAACAAAACCTCAAACTTAAAAGATGAGTTAAGGCATTAAAATGATTCCACTCTTCTTAAACTAGTGTCTAAATTTGGCAACTACTTATAAAATTTATTCTCAAATGTACATTTCCATCCAAGTAGCAACATACCTAGTAGAATTCTCTAGCTGAACAACTTCCCAGACCAAGTACAAGAAACTACTGGGGATCCTCTTGATAGACTCTGCATTTTAACACAAAGATGGGTTCTACACAACGAGTTCTTCTCTAAGCGGGTGACCTCAATTTCTAACTGTCTGACGCCATGTAGACACACACGAACACAAACATATCCATCTGTACCTGAAACTAGCCTTTTCTGGGGTCCCCATTTTAACGTCTTTCACACTCATCCCAACCTATCCATGCCTACCACACCACAATTACATTTCTAGCCCTCACTGATTCCCACCTGCACTGTTTGGAAAAGTCCAGTGTTGGGCACAAGGTAGACCCCAGATGAATGCATGTCGAATGAGTAAAAGAATAAATGATCCCACGCCTTTGGGAGGCTGAGGTGAGTGAACTGCCTGAGCCCATGGGTTCGAGACCTGCCTGGGCAGCGAGACCTCATCTCTACAATAAATCAAAAAATCAGCCAGGCGTGGTAGCGCATGCCTGTAATTCTGGCTACTTGGAAGGCTGAGGCGGAAGGATCACCGGAGCCCAGCAGGTCGAGGCTGTGGTGGCCGGGAGCGGCCACTGCACTCCAGTCTGGGTGACAGAGTGAGACTCTAACTCAAAAAAAAAAAAAGAATAAATGAAAAGAAAATCATCCAGCTGGTCTTCTTGCCACTCAGCTCTGCTCTCCAGAGTATCCCACATGTCATCAGCTAAGAGCACTGAGTTTTCTGTGGTTTTCACATACATATTCCAAGCACGTAGGACAGTGCCTGGCACATGATAGGCACTAAATATGTGTTGAATGAATGACTCAACTGTACCAGGATTGTTTCAACAAGAGAATCAGGAGGCAAGTTAAAACTGCTAGATCTTCAACTCAGAGTGCTCACTGTGCCATGGTAGCCACAGAGCTAGGACTGAAGCTCAGTAACCTATGCATGAGTCAAAACCAATATACTTTGCCTACTACAGCAGCAGTCTGCAGGAGAAAGAGACCCTGAAACACCACAAGCAAGATGGTTCTGAGTAATTGTCATTGTCTCAGCTATGGAAAGACTTGTTGATTCTCAGGAAAAGAACAGGCAATGAAGGAGGAACACTTTTGAGACAAACAGAAGCCGAATAGACAGAAAAGTACTGCTGTTTGTGCCCACTAGTCAGTTATATGTCATTCTTTCCCAAATAAGCTTCCATATACATCTGCACATCCTGAAAAGCACTGTGCCTGTACACACGCACAAATACACACATGTGAATGCATGCACACATACCACATACACAATCATTCCCTCAGGAGAGCCATTATTTTCATCAAATAAATCTACTTCACAGTATGTGTAACCTGGTAATAAAAATATGGACTGGACACTTAGAGTCTCATTTCCTGTGAATAGTATGAATTATGCTTTTCTTTCACTCCTCCCTACCAAAAGTATACAGCAGTCCCACCTTATCTGCAGGGGATACATTCCAAGCCTCCTAGTGGATGCCTAAGACTTTGGCTAGCACTGAACCCTACACTGGTTTTCTGATATAGTAACTGAGATGGCTACTAAATGATTCACAGGGAGGATTCACCTTCTGGGCAGGACCATGAGAGGCTTCAAGCTACCAGAAATGTGCACAATTTAAAACTTAGGAATTGTTTCTTTCTGGAATTTTCCATTTAATATTTTTGGACTGCAGTTGAACACAGGTAACTAAAACTGCAGAATGTGAAATTGTGTAAGGGGGGACTACTATACTTATTTTATGCTATGTTCAAGCTCAATGAAACCCTCCAGTTAGTTTTTAAAATGGTAAAGAAAGTGGCAGTTTGAGAAACACAAAAAAGAGGCCAGGTTTGTTTTCTATTAAAATACCAACTTCAATTTAAATGAAAAGAATAGAATACCAATATTTTTAAAACTTTTTTTTTTTTTTGAGTTGGAGTCTCACTCTGTCACCCAGACTGGAGTGCAGTGGCCACTCTCGGCCACCACAGCCTCGACCTGCTGGGCTCCGGCGATCCTTCCACCTCAGCCTTCCAAGTAGCTGGAACTACAGGTGCGCGCTACCATACCCGGCTAATTTTTTTGATTTTATTGTAGAGATGAGGTCTCACCAAGTTGCCCAGGTGGGTCTCGAACCCGCGGGCTCAGGCAATCCATTCACCTCAGCCTCCCAAAGCACTGGGATTACAGGCTGAGCCACCGAGCCTGGCTTTTTGAAACTTTTTAAACCAACCTTCATGGTAAATCATATAGATATAAAATAACATGGAAGAAAATTTCAATTTAAAATTCCAACCTATTCGACAATTAATCTTGAATTTCATTTACAATTTAGACTACAATATAGTGAAATGAATTTCTTATCTCTCTAAGTGGTTTTTAGAAGTTTGATTTATAAACTAATTGCCCGAATATAATTGTGAATAACCAGAGAAGAGAGGTTGGCAGTCCAGAGACCATACTACATCATCCTCCGACATTCATCATTTTTTCTACAAAAGTTCTTTCTCGATATGTTTAGCTGTTCCTGTTATTTCATTTAAGATCTATAAAGGTATTCGCTTTTAAAATAAAAATAAAATTATGATCACATTCAATCAAAACTGAGAATCTCTCAACATTGATTACACAAAAAGGAGAGAATACACCAATATTAAAGGAGATACAATTCATTTTAAGAGGTATATTAACTTTCTCCACGCTGTACGTAATTATTTGACAAATCATATTCCTTCTCTCTCTAAGAGATACCCATGTCCTGAGAGAGAAGATGGACCTACAGAGGGTGAGAGAAATGAACTGAGGGGTGGCTCCCCAGGCCCAGGATTAGGGTACTTTATCCCTGACCTTGGAAGGTGCTACAAAGGCAGAAGGAACCCCTGACTTCGGGGAAAAAAGACATATCTCAATCTGATCAGTGGCTGGGACCCACCTTCAAATGTGACAGCATTAAAATCAGATTGTGTGATTGTGACCATAATTATACATGCTAAACAGAAATTTTAAAGTTTGTGGTCTCAGAATAAGCCTATAGCTTCACACTGTCTCTAGCTATACGTGAAAGCTCATAGTTGGTGGCATGCAAGGAAAACTCTGTTCCTAGGAACTTCCTCTTGTCCCCACTACATCACGAGCTAAGACTGGGGATTTCGTTATGACCTGCCACCCTCTAACCTATTCAGAGTAATTCCTCAGGGACAGGACCACGGCTATATTCAACTCTACATCCATGACCATGCCAATGCAGTAGATGGCCTGACAGTAGCACTCAATACGTCACTACTGAAAGAGTAAAGAAGTAGAATTTAAATTATACATAAAATACATATTTCTAAAATACCTAACAATTACATTTTAAAAACACAAGATACATTTGTATGTCTTCTTTGAAAAAGTATCGATTAAGGTCCTTTACCCATTTTAAAATTGGGATATTTGTTTTACTGATATTGAGTTGTATGAGTTTTTTTTAAATATCTATTTTGAATATTAGTTTCCCATTGAATATATGGTCTATAAACATATTCTCCCATTCTGTAGGTTGCTTTTCATATTATTGATTATTTTCTTTGATACAAATGAGCAACATCAGTAAGGATGTAGAGAAAAGAGAATCCTGGTACACTGCTGGTGGGAACGTAAATTGATACAGCCATTATGAAAAACAGAATGGAGGTTCCTCAAAAAAATCTAAAAACAGAATTTCCATATAATCCAGTCATTCTGCTTCTGGAGATATATGCGTGTGTGTGTGTGTGTGTGTGTGTGTGTGTATGTGTGTGTGTGTGTGTGTCCGCGTCTCGGAAATCAAAAATAATTCCAAATATTATACAGGTGTGGTGGAACAGACCTGTGGTTCCAGACTCTCGTGGGACTGATGTAGGAAGATAGCCTGAACCCACAAGTTGGAATCCGCAGTACCCATAAGCGTGCCCCTGCACTCCAACCTGAGCAACACAGTGGGATTCCGACTCCATAATAATAATCACCACCACCAACTCCGCCACCACCCCTGCCACTCCGTGTGAGGAGTCACCCTCAGTGATGAAAGAGGAAATGGCACTTTCCTGCCTGTTGTTCATGGAGGTTT